AGCCTGGCTGACCCAAGCCTGTGCTTAAGGCTACAAAGTTTCAATTATAGAAGGTACATAAGTCCCAATAGAAATGGCTGCCAGCCATGGATCGAGCAGGAGGCTTGGCTCTGCTCTAGGCTACAAAGTTTCAATTGTAGAAGGTAAATAAATTCCAGATACCAGGGCCTCCTCTTGGGTAGCCCGGGGGGGGGGGGGGGGGGGGGCATGGCGGGCCTGCAACCCATCACAGGCCCCTTGCCAAGGCCTTCTTATTCCACAAGGAAACCCCAACCCTGATCCGGGACACCCTTCAGAGCAAACCAGCTGGCCCCATCCATGCACCAGGCCTCTATCCTATTTAATAAAAGTGATATGCAGATTGACCTTCACTTCAACACACAAGATGGCTGCCCCCATGTGGTCAAAGATCCTGTCCCTATGTGGATCCAGCAGGAGAGGACAATTGGGAGGGACCAGGCCTGCAAGGGAGAGCATCTACCCGCTAATGGTCAGTGCACATCATAGCAACTAGTCGACTCTCTGCCCCCTGGTGATCAGTGCACGTCACAGCGAGTGGTTGAATGGCCTTAGCATTTCATTAGCATATTACACTTTGATTAGTTGAACAGTCGACCGGTCACCTGATGATTGGACACTTAGCATATTAGCCTTTTATTATATAGGATAGATCCCACTATAAATGCAGCATAGATGCTTAATTATTTCCTATTAATAAGTATTTTTAAGGTAAGCAGTTATATTAACTCTAAGTGTATCAAGTGAGCACTGCTTTTACTTTTCTTTTTTCTTTACTCATGGGTTTTCCCTCAGTCATTGTGAGAAGTGAAGAACCTTTACCTTTGCTCATGCTGATTCCCTTAATCTAACCCCAAATTCTTCACCTGATAAATTCATCTTCCAGTTTGTATTCTCTATAGTGGCATACAGTTAATGTCTTCATCTCCATTCCAGAGTAACCTTTTCTCTCTTGCATAAAGATACCTCTGATACAACATTTGATTGCATATCTTTATCACTCCCTGGACTTGTCTTTCACAGGTAAGAAGAGTATCTCACACTAGTGTTATACAGTTTGATTTGTAGATCAGTTCTGGTCCACAAACTGCTTCCTGCCTGAGAAACAATAAAAAGCTTGCACCAGACTATAAATAGTCACTAAATACAGTTTAGTTTGGCTTAATTTTTTTTTTTTTTTTTTTTGCCTTCGGTGGTAAGAATTTGTGAAAGAAGGATGAAATGTGTTCATTTCTATTCTGGCAAGTGCTACTTTAACTCTCAATGGACCTGTAACAAACACTTCATGTACAAGCTATAATGAATAGCACTGTCCAATCACTGATTTACCCTTACTGCCAGGAACACAAAAGGAAGATGAGCAGCTGCTGTAGAGAGAGAAGTTGGTGTAGCAGTGGGAGTCATGGGCAGGTCTAAAGAAGGTGTAGGAAGAGTTGCTGCATCTGGCCCTTTCTGCAACCAAAGAAGACCTATAATGCTGGCCTCTGTTTTTGAGGTAACCTAGTCCTCGTTTGGGTGTATTATTCCAGCCCATTTACCTAGTAGCCTGGAAAGCTGCTAGTTCTGAGCAAGACCCAGAAGGCGGCTGTGCCAGCTGCTCTGCCACATGGGCCCTGTGGTCTAGCAGTGGCGGTGGCAGAGAAGGACACCGTCTTCCCAGGCTTCTGCAAGTGCAGCTCAGTGCAAGCCCTTAGGAGTGAAGCCCTGCCAACCTCTGTCGGGAACTGCTCTCCTTTGGAGACACAGCTCGTGGCTTGCTGCTGGGTCTTAGTAACTAAATGCTTAACCTAAGGCCACTCAGTTACCATCAAGAACTAGGTATTATCTGACACACAAAGCCTAAAGTGGAGTGTGCATAACAAGATTCCATCATCAAATGCAAGTGGTACAGCTGTGCCAGGGCCCAAGTAGGCCCTGAGGAAACAAGTAAGTCACATGAAGAAGTGGCTCAAATGCCCATGTTTCCACGCCTGCTCCACCCTTCTCTCTCCCAGCCGCTCTCCGCTCTCCGAGGAGTTCCCTATGATTAGCTGGCAGAGCATCCTTGGGGCTGGTGTACAACACACAGATGGCACCCGGAAGTGGACAGTTGAGCAAGCCAGCCTCTTTCTGGGACACCCAGAGGAACAGCAGCGAAGGAAATCCTGTGGGCAAAATCTCAAGCAGTGCATCTGGTGTTCACTTTACTCAGAAGGAAAAATGGCCAGAGGTGCAATAATAAACCAACTCATGGCTGCGGTCAATGGTTTGCTTTCTAACCTGAGGACTCACAGCACAAGCTGCCCTGGAACTCAGACAGCAGAGGGCAGGGGGGAGGACAAAGTGCAGTTTGCATCACACTGTTGGACAGTGAGCCAGCAGTCTTGGCTTGTCGAGACAAATGGCCAGCGGTGGGGGGAAGCGAGACTGCTTTTCACTAAGCCTCTGACACTACGTGAATGTTTGTAGACTGTATATTTATCACACTAAACTTCTTTAAAATTTAGTAATATTAAAAAGGAAAAAATTAAGAGGCAGTTATATAAAATCTTGGATTTATTCAGCTTTTAACATCTATTAGCATTTGTGGGAAATTTAAGCATGCCCTAAAAAGATTTTGCAATTTTCTTCTCAAAATTTCATTGTTACTGTGTAAACAAAAAGTCAATTGATCAATGTGTACTATCTAAAATTTCAGAGTAATGCACAAACCCATTAAGAGATTCAGTTTTTCATAAAGTGTCTCGAAAAACAGCTTTCTATTCTTATGGTACTTATTCTCTAAATTACCTAACTTCTCTCACTATTAGAGGTGGCCTGGTCTTATTAGCTAATAATATGTGATCATGCTTCATGGTTTCTTATTGTGTGTGTGTGTTTTAAATGTAATTTACTGATTTTTTTTACAGCGAGGAAGGGAGAGGGATAGAGAGTTCGAAACATCGACAAGAGAGAAACATCAATCATCTGCCTCCTGCACACCCCCTACTGGGGATGTGCCTGTAACCAAGGTACATGCCCTTGACCAAAATCAAACCTAGGACCCTTGAGTCCACAGGCCGATGTTCTATCTACTTAACCACACCAGTTAGGGCAAGCTTCATGTTTCTTCACAATAAATCCAAACACAAAAAAGCTACCAACAGGCTAACTCAAAGGAGACACTGAACATAGTTTAGCTATTTCCCACCCTTTCTATGTCTTCTTTCCTTTGTCTCTAAAGCTCCTGATCAGAAATCTTCTCTCCAGACTGGCAAACAGAGAAATATTATAAAAACTGGTCTACTCCTACTACAATTAAACTACATTCTAAGCTCTATGTCTGTATATTTCAAACTTGAAATCCTTTCTGTCCTGAAGAGTCCAAGAATGGGATATCTGCATGTTCTCACTCCCAGCCTTAGCACAGAAAGGTCCAATATCTATAAGCATGGAGAAGAGTAGCCCAGGAAATCCATAATCAAATAATATAAAATAATTTACATGACAGTAACAGAATATACTAATCATCATTGGTGACATAGCAGAGCCATATTTCACTTCTGAGCATATGGCTTGAGTTTGGTTTTATTACCATCACAAACTAACACGTGGTCCCTGCTCAGAATTAGCTAGAACACACAACCCTGAGGAAGATGAGGAAATAAGTTGAGCAAGCAAGCCAGAATGTTCTTTATCAACATTAATTTAAGCAAAATTTGACAAGTCTATAAAACACAAATATAGATTTAAAACTAAAGATATCCACATTTTGAAATTAGTATTTTATTCCTAAGTTTTCTGCTATGCATCTGACCTTGTCTCTTAAGTGTTACATGTTCAAACAAAAAAATGCTATCGAATCAGAAGCCAGATTCAAATATCAGCTCACTCCATATCTTTTGAGAAGTCACATCACTGTTATTAGTCTAGATTTTCTCGAATAAAAAAATAAGATGGAGAAAGATTAAACCTGAAGGTTTCTAACAAAAGTACAATTATATGATTACTAGGGGCCAAGTGCATGAATTCGTGCATGGGTGGGGTCTGGCCAGCTCACCCTGATTAGAGCTGGGCTGGCAAAGGTGGGGAGGGAGGTGCGAGGGGGGCAGGGACAGGATGTGGGCAGTTGGCCAGCTGGCCCTGCCCCCAATTAGGGGATGGGGAGCTGATCAGGGGTGGGACCAGTCTGGGGGAGGGGCTGCAGGCTATTCGCTGGCTGGTCCCGCCCCCAATCAGGAAGGGGGGCCGATTGGGAGCCAGGCTGGCCTGGGGGAGGGACCGCAGGATGTTGGGGGTGGGACAATTGGGCCAGTTGGCTGCCCCAGTGCACGTCATAATGACCAGTCATTCTGGTCGGCCCAGTCACTTGGCTTCTATGTATATAGATGTAAATAAAAACTGCTCTTTCTTATTTTCCACTTAGCTGAAATTAGTAGCCGTCAATGATGACAGAAAGCCTACTATGTTTCAGGTATTAAATCTCTCAATTTAAAACTACTGTTTCTAATTCTCTCATAACCTTACAGTGCAGGTACTATAAAAATAAGGAAACAGAAGCAGAGATTGGCTAATCCAATATTACACAGTTCATAAATATTGGGGACTGTATGGAGACCATATACAAATTCTTATATTTTTTTCTTCCACAAAAATTTCTATTGTGTACTATTTAAAAAAGTATTTTTAATATACTTTATTGACTTCAGAGAGGAAAGAAGAGGGAGAGAGAAATAGAAGCATTAATGATTAAGAGAACCATTAATTGGCTGCCTCCTGCATGCCCCCCACTGGGGATCAAGCCTGAAACCCAGAATGTGCTCTGAGCAGAAATCAAACTGTGACCTCTTGACAGGTCAACCAAAAACACTGAGGCACACCAGCTGGGCTATTAAGTACCATTTACAAGTATTATTTTACATAAATCTAAATAGATATTAAAAACCCAATTTAAAAATTTTAAAGTAATGTTAATATATCTTGCAACTAAAAATATCGAGTCAAAATGTTCATTATATACTCACCTGATGTAGCAGACGTTTCAGTTTGAGTAACTGAGTTTTTACAGCAGTGCAATCCTGGACCATGTGCCGGAGGGTCATCTCATCCAGTATCACTGTGTTTTCAGGTACATCTACAAACATTCTCTGAGCCTGGAAAAAGGGGGTCCCTCCATAGCTTTCAAAATGACCCAAAGGAGATTCTCTGTAGGGAGAGCCTCTAGAAGGGCAGGAGAAGTTGGAGGTAAAAGATATACAACACAAATTTCAGAAAAAAATAAAGGTAATAAAATTACTGTAATGAATATTATAATTGACTTATCATTATCACAAAGCCTTTGACTTTTACTCACCTCAGACCCTGAATTTGTTTCCACTGTAAAGTCCAATCAGTTCTAGTTGCACTGCTCTTCCCTTTTGTGTATTTTACACATTGGCTGAATAAACCTTATTCCTTAGGAACATGAATAGAAACAAAAATCTTTGTGGAAAGGCCTTGCCTGGAAAAATATTTTTCTTTTTTCCACACTGATTGCCTCCTTTTTATCTGTTGACTTTAATTGGCCTCTTCAACATAACTTTTTTTTTTTTTTAGCCCATAACACTACAGGACTCCTATTTCTTGAAAGTCCCAGTAGACAGTTAAGTTTTACACTGTTGACAAATTATTTTTTCCAATAAAGATTAAATAAGATTTTTAAGTCTTCTTTCCTAATCTTAAACTACATTTTAAAAATCCACTGTAAAAAAAAAAAATTAAACTTTCCTTTAGTTTCATACAATACACATTCTGAGTAAATTAGAATTTTTTTGTTTGAACATTTAAGACTAGGGATAATGTATTTTATGGATGTGGAAAACCATATTTCAATCAGAAGTCATAGCTACAGCAATTTAAAAAGTAGTGCATTCACAATACACATAATTCCAGTTGGTTCTTATGTTAAAACAAAAACATGTTGAAAAAAATGTTCTTTACAATATACTGTAATGGATATATTTTATGAGGATAAAGATAAATTCCTGATGCAATGAATTTGCAAAACTCATAATGCATTAAATTTCAACCACATTAAAAAGAAGAAATGATTTCTGCTAAAATTTTCTAGCTTTGAATAAATATTCCCAAATCTCTAAATTCTCAAATGCTCAATATAAGCTTTGTTTTCACAACATTACTTTTCTCTGAACACCCCTACTGGTATGGCTACCAGAAGTGCCAAGAGGCCATCAGAGCTAAGGCGATGCAGCTGTGCCCTGAGAGGGCTTCTGCTGGGCGGCAGGTGGGCCTACGCTCAGCCCTGGGCTGCATGATGGGAAGCAGATCCTTGTTTCCCAGGGAGGTCAGCGCCCTGTGCCAGGAAGAAAAGGAAGAGACCACCTTCCCACAGGCTAGAGCCGCACCCCCAAGGCTGGTGTGTCTGAACCACTGGTGAGGCCCAGGAGCACAGTGCAGGCCCCTGGGCAAAGAAGCAAGGACATCCATACTGGAGGCAGACGGGCCTCTGGACCCCAGAAGCCCCACCCACCAGATGTGGGGCTCTGCTGTGCTGAGCATCTTTCACGTTGCCAAGGGCCAGGCAGGGACAATGACTGCCATTGGCCTGCACCAGAGAACCTCCAGGGAGAGCTGTGACCAGCACACCCAGTGGCCAACTTGACCTCATGGAGCAAAATCCAGTGGGCTCCACAAAGGGTGAACACAATTGGCACTAAAACCTATGGAGGGGAACACTTTTTATTTTTAATATTTTCTTTACTTCTCTTTTATATTTCATTTACAAAATTTGTTTCCTCTCTTTTCACTTTTGTCACCATTGTAATTAGTTATTAATGTTAATAGGATTGAGGCAAAGGGTCTGCTGGACATAAGCACGGTCACCTGGGCACTGCACCTGGGAGCTGCAATGCTGCACAGTGCATTCCTTGCAAATCACTGGGGGAAGGGGCCCAACCAAGGGGAAGATGAACGCTCGCACAGTGAAGACGAGGTGAGGTAGGGAAGGCACTTGCCTGTCAGGCTAACCTGGAACAAATATAACTGGCTGGGGTTGGAGCCACTGCAAGCCTGTGAAAATCTGGAATACAAATACAAAGGAATTCTTTCTCTCTAGTTCCTCTTGGTTCCTTGCACTCGCCTGTGCCCCTTCTGTAACCATGTGGCCCTGGGAGCTGCATGGCCCACAGCCAAGCAAACCCCACATGCAATGGAGTGTAGCTGGAACACAAGCTAGCCTAGTGTTAGCAGGACTGGACTGTGCAAATGCAGTGGAAAGTCTGGGCAGCGGCTTCAAATCCTGCTCTGCTAAAGACAAAGTCAGACTTCTCCCATGGCGAGACTGAGGGCAATGGGACCTTGAGAACACAGGGAGGAGTTTACTTCAACCAAAATAATGTTTTCAATACCGTATCCTTCTGTGGGGGCCTCAAGATATTCTTATTCCCATGGCACCAAAGAAGTGTCATTCCATTAATAATAAGTGGGGACACGGAGACCACTCCACCTATAAAACTTTAATATCTGTTTCTCTTCTCTTTTCTTATACTACGTTTTCTTTCTCTCTTTTTTCCTTTCTTATTTTTTCATTTATTCTTTTCCTATTCTATATTTTATTTTATTCATTATTATTATTTTTAACAATTGTCTCATTTAACATTTTTTACTTTTCTTTCTAATTATTTTTCTTTTCTTTCATACTCCTTTTTGTTTCTCTTTTCTTTTCTAATTCTTTGGTCTCTTGTCTTTCTGTACTGTTTTTTCCTCATAATTATTCTTGTTTCTGTGGCTGTTGGCTTGTTGTTTTCAGCTTGGCTTGCTTGGTCTTGTTCTGCTCTGTCAGCACCTGTGTCACAGTTGTTACGAGGTGGTTGGGATTGAGACTCACAGTCATCCAGCCCAGGCGCTAAGCCGACCCATGAACAGGACGACAGCAATCGAGACACAATTACAACAGCTGGGTCTACACAACCCACACATTCCTAGAGCATCCCAGTCAGGTCAAGCAGACTACACGAACTCATACAACTCAATAACAGGAAGATAAACAATCCAATCAAAAAATGGGCAAAGGACCTAAATAGATACTTTTTGAAAGAGGACATTCAGAAGCCCAAGAACCTATGAAAACACATGTTCACTAATCATGCAAATCAAAACAACAATGAGGTACCACCTCACACCTGTCAGAATGGCTACCATCAACACATCAGCAAACGACAAGTGCTGGAGAGGATGTGGAGCAAAGAGAACCCTCATGCACTACTGGTGGGAGTACAGACTGGTGCAGCCACTGTGGAAAACAGTATGGCGTTTCCTCAAAAATTTAAAAATGGAACTTCCATTTGACCCAATAATCCCATTTCCAGGAATATATCCAAGAAATCATAAACACCAATCAAAATGGATATATGCACCCCTATGTTCATAGCAGCACAATTCACCATAGCTAAGATTTGGAAACAGCCTAAGTGCCCCTCAGGAGATGAGTGGATTAAAAAGCTGTGGTATATCTACACAGTGGAATACTACACTGCTGTAAAAAAGAAGGAACTCTTACCATTTGCAACAGCATGCATGAATGGACCTGGAGAGCATCATGCTAAGTGAAATAAGCCAGTCTGAGAAAGATAAATATCACATGATCTCACTCATATGTGGAATATAATAAACAATATAAACTGATGAACAAAAATAGAGCCAGAGGGAAAAAATAATATCTTAAGAACATATAGAAGTAATCCTGTTATTTGCAGATTTTTAATATTTCCTACAACCTTTGTAATATCATACTATGTTAGTATAGTTTTGGTAATATCATTATGCTTAAAATCCTTTTTTTCTTGAAATATTAATGGAGCCTTGGGAGTGGCACAGGTGTGGGCTATAATTCAATGGGGGAGGGGGAGAGGAGGGACCTATGTAACACTTTCAAGAATAAAGATTTTTTTAAAAATGCTATTGGGGGGGATATCCTTGATGAGGATTTAAAAAAAAAAAGATGACAGGTACATATATGTACTTTTATACAAATTTTAATAATCATGGCTTTCTAGTAGAGAATTATATGGTGAAAGCAACAGAACACTGCAAGCTGCTTTGGGGAATACACTGAAGGTCAGTAATGTGTTAGTAAAGGCAGAAATGTGCCTTTGTGGTCTATGTGGTCAGTCACAGGCCAGGCAGGTTAGTAGATAAGAAGAAACCAATGGATAAATGAGTTCAGTTATTATAGAAACATGAGAAAGAAATGCCCACAATCGTCAACATTATTTAACACTAGGAGCCTATTGCAGAAAGACTCCTGCAAGTGGCCATCGCTGCCACCCACCCAGCCCATATTTTCCTCTGGCAGCCACCTTGCTTTCTGCTTTTCCTCCCTCTTCCTTCTAAGCTGTTTTCAGTCTTCACTCCTCCCCCACTCAGTGTATGCAAATTAACCACCACATCTTTGTTGGGTTAATTTGAATACTTGCTCTGATTGGCTGTGGGCGTAGCAAAGGTACAGTCAATTAGCATTTTCTCTTTTATTAGTGTAAATTGTTTTATAAATACAGCCAATAAAATCAACAAGAAAATAAAGGATCAGAATAACTATAGAAAGAAATCTTTAAGATATCAGCCTTTTTTAAACCCGTTAAAATTGAATCCTCATCCAATAACAGCACCTGATAGTCATCCCACACATCTAATAATTACACTGCTGCCCAATTACTTATTGAAGTTTTAAAGGAATCTCACAAAATTAAGTGGTTGTATCCATATACTTCTCCACTTCTACCAAGCTTCTTAACCATCAAGATGTGTGTTTTGTGCTTAAGGTTTCTGATTCATAGATTAGACTGGTAAATGGAGGTGTGTTTGGAGTGAGGTAGTAGGAGAGAGAGATATTTCCTAATCTGAGTCACAATTTGTCTTCACACAACCTTTAGTGTTTCTTTATTCACTTTTATTAAAAATTGTATGATAAAAGTTAAATGTGTGTGTGTTTTATGTTCATACTATATTTTTTAAAGGCTTGATTCAACAGAATCTCAAACAAAATTCCAGCATGTTATTTTGTGGATATCAACAAAATGATTCTAAAATGTATATGAATAGGCAAAAGACCCAGAACAACCAACACAATTTTGAAGAATAAGGTCAGACTGGCTATATCTAACTTTGAGGCATACTATGTAAAGTAACACACTAATCAAGACAGTGGAGTACTAACTAAAGAA